ATCACAATAAATAATTATAATTATCACCAACAATATCCAATATTATATAAATAGATACAATATTCATTATCTTAATATTTGAATATTCATTATCTATGCTTCCATATGTTTCCATTTTCATCTGCAAATACATGTAGCCCTATTTAATTTAAGTTCATAATATACAATTTATTTACTATGATGACATTTACTACAAGTCCAACACGCATACAACTATTTCATGATAACAATTTGAGTATCATCTAACAATCAATATCATAAAAGTTATGTCAAAGCATATACTTCTTTTCATTGTTAAGGGTCAATAACATACAACAAGGAAAAGTCATTTATCAACTACAACATCCAATACGAAAATTTACTAATTGAAATCATAAAGATCTAAAATTTCTCTTACTAATAGACAATATAGCAATACAAACTCAATGGTCTAGTTCTAACTAACTACATGTTATCATCAAACATTAACTAGTAAATCCATTCATTCATCTTCAACAATAAGTATTGTGTAATCTTGCAATCTCAATAATGAACAAAAACTAAGTTAAACCCTAAATCGACAACACACTAACCCTAATTTTAAATCTACACCGACAAAAACTAAACCTAGTCCTTCATTGACAAAAACTAAACTTAATCCATAATTGACAAAAACTAAACCTAGCAATCGATAAAACCTAAACCATGACCACTCTAGAGCACCTAAGGCAGCCATGGCGGTGGCAAGGGGAGGGAAGACAACCCAAGTAGATGCGAGAAGCAATAAAACACTAAGTTGGAAGTAAGAAGCAACGGTAAAACCCAAAAGCAAAACACATCCTCTATTTCTAACAAGTATCATCAAAATCATCATCTACCTACCAAAGTAAAGCGAGAAGCAATAGAACACCAAGCTAAAAAAAGTGATTGCCAACAAAAGCGATGACAAGCGAAGGGACACCCGGTGGAAGCAATACAAGCTACAATAGCAATAAAATTAGTGATTGTGTGATTGTGAGTGATAAATAGTAGAAATGAGGATGAAGGTGAAAAAGATGATGAGTGAGACCTAACAAAGAGTAAAGGACATAAAATTGAAGTAGATATGCAGTGAGGACTCAGAATAGTAGAAGGTAAATAGTGTGAGGAGGAAAATAAAATTATTGTATAATTTATTTATTTTTTATTGGATTGTAGAAAGAATATTTAAAAAGGGGTGTTATCGATTCTCCTTTATTAAATGAATTCAATTTTAATTTAATTAAATATTTATATTATAAAAATAATTATCTATATATAAAAATTATTTATATAAGATATTGTAAAATAATTCAATATGTTACTAATTAATTTTATAAATTTTCAAAAAATAAAACTTATTTCGCTTATGTATTTATCAATTTGACATTGATATATCAATTATCCGCTAATCATGTTTCTTCGGAAACTGCCTGAGCTGATAATCAATAGCTCACATTTCTTAATATAATTTATTATATTATATGTGTTTAATAAAATTACCATTTAGGTAGTTTATGTAAATTTAAGTCTATTAAATTAGGTATTTATAATCAATTACTTTATTTATATTTTTAATTATACTATTCATCTTAGACTACATTTAAATTTTCAATCAAACTTAAAATAAAATAAAAATATCATACTTTAGCATACTTTGGTTATGTAAATTAATATAACGGTTAAAAAATTATATTATTAAAAATATCATATATCAATACAAATATTTTAAAGTCTAATGTTAAAAAAACTATCAATGATTAGAATATATAGTGTAATATAGAATTATTAAAAAAGTAATTATAATTTATCATTATCACTTGGAAAACACGTTTTCTTACTTAAGAAAATAGTAATTAATATTAATTAAATTGAATATCAACTAGTAATTAATTCTTAACTTAGAGATTTTACTGAGAAATGTGAGATTGTGAAAAATTAGTGGAAGATGCTATCATCCTTAATTGAAAGTTGAAGGTGTGCATATAATTTTATTTTATTTTATTATTTCCATGTTTTCGATAATAATATAAGGACACGTTAAACAATACCTTTTAATGATGTGTTGAGGATTTAACATGACAAAATTTGGATGAAAATGACCGAAAATAATGAAGTTAGAGATTTAGGATAAATCAACGATGAAAAATACACGAATATGAATTAGTAATGTTAAACATATCAACATGGTATTTGAAGTATTTTTAATGCAATATTTTATTTTAATATATTGTATTACTTATGGGTTGTTTTATATTTTTTATATATTTCACTTTAAAATTTTAGATTTTTTTAATCCCATGATTTAATATTTATTTAAAATATTTTTAAAAAATATTAATTGATTGATTGATTAATTAAACTTTAATTATTAAAATTAAAAATACCAAATAGTAAATGGTAAATATTAATAAATGTTATTTTAATTAATAATAATAAATTAACCTTAATGTAAATAAAAATACAAAACCCTCATTATAATATTAATAAAAAATTTGTTTAGATTCATTTAAAGAAAACATTAAAAAATTAGAATTGAGATGATAAAGTTTTAGATTAAGAATTAGAAAGAAAAAAAATCCAGTACATCTAAAAAAAATACTTAATCGATTATCCAATTTATAAGACCTTTGTACTAAAATTTATGAGACCTTTGTACTAAAATTTATAAGAAGAAAACATTATCATTTTATTCCTAAACTCTATTTTTATCCCTCTTTCTTTAATTTTCTCTTTTATCTAAATCCTTCACCTCTTCAACGTTCTACTTCCCCACCTGTCCCTATTTTTTCTTTTCATTTTTCCTTTTCCTTCAAACCCACCTTCCCTACCTAGTCTCCCACCCCCTCCTTCAATACATTTTGTTTGCTTTCATCTTTTTTTCTTTTATTTGTTCTCATTTTTTTTATTCTCGAAAATTCCTTGCGCAACTAGTTAAGAGGAAATATTTTCTTCTTTCAAAACTACGTAAATCTTCAGAATTATAATAGAAGAATCAAATTTTCATAACTGAGATGTTTGATTTTTCTGTAGTGAACATCTTGTAAAAAAAAAAAAAATCTTATATTTAATTTTTAAGTGAAGATCCTATATATTAAGATATTCTTACCTACTTTCGAAGTAGTTGATGGAAGGATTTACTAAAATACCTAACATGATATTATTTCACATCTCTCAATTAAAACTATTTTTTAAAAATTGTAAAAAAAAATGATAATTCATCCTAAATAAGAAAACAACACATTCTTGTCATCACTTTCATAAGACTTCATCGAGGTGGGGAATTATCCTTTATTCTTTTTTATTTTTTGACAGAGCATTATTCTTTTTTCTTTAAATATTAAATACCCACTATAATAATATTTTGTAGGGTTAATGTTATTTTGGGCGGTAGAAGAATAAAGTATGGTGCACCACTGCATGATATATAGTGTGGGTATTATGCGAAGAAAACATGTATCAAAGTTATATTATGGGTGTGAGATGTTTACGGAAGACGTCGAAACACTAGTCGTATCGAATACACAGATCATAGAATAATGGGATTTAATTATTAGTATGAATTCCTAATGAACAGTGAGGGGTCAGAATTGGTATGCTTTGCTCCAAATATTCACAAGGAAAAGTAAAATATTTACTTTCTTTCTCGCTGTAGTGTCAACAAGCTGGCTTCTTTGCTTTGAATACGCCTTGTTAGTTTGACAAAAGCATCGCAAAATAAAAGAAAATAAAAAGATAGATCCACCAAGAAAAAGAAATAGTAAGAATAAGTTGGCACATTGGTGTCAATAGAGAGAAGGACATGAACCCATTCACCATCCACGTTACACTCAAATCATTATTATTACTTTTCCAAAAGTAGATGCCAAAAAATATTTTAATGACCAATAAAAATAAATAAATGAATTTAGAAGTAATTAATAATTTGCAAAAATAAGAATGAAAAGAGAGAGAAAAGGTAAATGTTCTAAGTTGTTCCCCGCGTGTAAGTTGCGGTGTCTTGCTCGTCCTATATGCTTCGGTTTAAGATTATCTCCGAAATTGTAGAGAGAGAGAGAGAGAGAGCGTTTGTTTTGTGTGTGTGTGTTTCCCTGTCTCAACGTAATAATAATATTATTGTTAGTTTGGGACATAACAACTAAGAGAGTTCTTGCAATTTGCAACCTCTCTCTCTAACGTTTGCCGTTCGTTCCCCCCTTTCTGCCGACGATTTTTCTTTGTCCCTGTGGATCAGGTTCGATCTCCCAGATCTGGCTTTCTCTTCCTCTCAACCTCCTCGATCTCCTTTCATTCTTATCTTTCTCTTGTTTTCTTCGCATTCCTTTTCTTGTTTATTTCACCGTTCATGCCAATAGTAGATTTGAGGTTTCATTTACTTTTCCTCTACGTATGTATGTATTGCTTTATGTTTTTGTTCTTTCGGGTTCAGTCTTTGTTGAATGGTGTTTGGATCTTCTCGTTATTTTCTCTGATTTTAATCATGAGTTACTTTCAATGTGTTATGCTGCACTTTTTAATTGTTTGAACTCTGATAGATCACGGAATAATGATCTTATTAACGTTTCAGAATTTGGATTGTTCTCAGAAAATTTTTGTTCCATTTGCTTTTGAATTCCTTTGTAGATCTTTAAGTTTTCTGTTCGATCTTATATAGCTGTATATGAATTTTGAGGCTACATAGTTGGATGTTTATTGCATTTTTCGCATTATAATCTGTACGGACAATACTTTTGCTTATTGGCTCTCTTAGTTCTTCTAAATATATCAGGTATCTGACTAACTGCTATTTTCTGAAAATTGTTGTATATTACTGTTTTAAATCAACAACAACAGATAATAATGCTTGATGAATATCCTTTTGTAATTCAAGTAATCATTATATTGTCGAGAAACTACTTTTCCTTGAGCCAGTGAGTGGATTTATTTTTTATGTGAGCTGTATTTTTACATTTCAGTTTGGGCCCTTGGTGCTGGTTTATAGCCTGTGTTGAATACCAGCTACAATGAAGAAAGCTATCGGTCAAACTGTTAGGGACCTGTAAGTCTAATTGTTTATTGTTTTTTGATATATGATTCAACGTAGTGTGTATTGTAAAATTGCTATGTTGGGTGTTTATCACTATTTTAGAGGCCAACTGAATTTTTCCTAAATGTGTTACCCTTCATTGTATTCTTGCAGTAAAAGAGAAGTAAATAAGAAAGTGCTGAAAGTTCCTGGAATTGAACAGAAGGTAATTCTTTTTTAAGTTTGCTATGAAACAATGACTTCGAAGATCGTGGCAAGACAATTGTACTAATGAATTGTGGCAAGTCTGACCTATGTTATGCTATTGTTGCTCATGAAATAGATGTTGACTATCCTAATATTTACGTATTATGGTATGATAATATTTTGCAAAACCATAAACAGATTCATTATTTTCTCTCCCCTCTTCTAGGTTCTTGATGCTACCAGCAACGAACCATGGGGTCCTCATGGATCACTTCTTGCAGATATTTCTCAGGCAACCAGAAACCCGTAAGCTTAGACTCTTAATTGTATGTTTGAAATATTGTGTATTTGAGTACATCGAATCTCATTTTTAAGCACCCATGCAGTCATGAATACCAGATGATCATGGCAGTAATCTGGAAGCGAATCAATGACACTGGCAAGAATTGGCGGCATGTCTACAAGGTTTTGATAAAAATATTTAAAGTTTAAGATACAATTGCTGGCAGATGCTGGTGATCTTGTTTATTTTTGTTGTCACCGTCAACACTTGAATGAATCCGCCAATTTGTGAAATCTGTTTTGATACTTGTTTATATCCTGTGCAATAATGATTGGTTATTGCACATTAATAATAATGTATTTTGTCTTTTGCATTTACTGTTGATCTCACTTTCTTAAATTATGTGTTTCTGTATTAACCACCCTTTGTTTCACGACAGGCTTTGACAGTACTAGAGTACTTGGTGGCTCATGGGTCAGAGCGAGTCATAGACGAGATCAGAGAACATTCATATCAAATATCAGTAATTCACATTTAGTCAATCCTACTTAAAACTTATATACTTATTGCCATGCAGGTCCAATATTTCTAAGATCATCTAAAAGTTATAATGTAATCTATAACATTCATCACATGAACAGACATTATCCGATTTTCAATACATTGACTCCAGTGGAAGGGATCAAGGAAACAATGTCAGGAAGAAATCTCAAAGTCTGGTTGTCCTTGTGAATGATAAAGAAAGAATCATAGAAGTTAGGCAGAAGGCTGCTGCTAACAAGGACAAGTAAGTCTCCTCTCGATAATTCTATTGATATTTTGTAGTTCCAGTTACAATATATTTTTTATACATACCCGCTTGTTTAGCAAGTGCAAGCCATTGCATTAGTAGATATTTTTGGTTTTTAACTTCCCGAAGTTGTAGAATGTGATAATCTATCTGTATGGTCTGTGGGATTCTGGACAGACATAAAATACACAGTTTGGTATGTGAAATTTGTGTGAATGTTTGTATGTATGTTTGTGACTATCTCAATTTCTAGGAGAGATATTAACTGTTTTATATGATTTACCAGGTTTCGCAACAATGTGGCTGGTGGAATGTATAGACCTGGTTCATATTCGAACAGTGGAGCATATGGTGACAGATATGATGATGATCGTTATGGAAGCAGGGAGGAAGATCGAAATGGCTATGGTTATGGAAAAGAAAGAGAATGGGGCTATAAAGATGATGATCGACATAGTCGTGATGGAGATCGTTATGGTAGAGATTATGAGGATCGTTATGGCAGAGATGATGACTATAGGGGAAGAAGTCGAAGTGTTGAATACCAATATGAATCAAGAAGCAGGAGCTCAGATAGAGATCATAATGATACTGATGGACAAAACTCATCTCGGTATGTACCTACATGATATAATGTTCATAATAAATTATTCTTTTTTTACCCAAAAATACTGAAAAAGATAATTTAGTGGGCCGAACAACCTTCTTAATTAAATTACTCATATGATGAGATTCTCTCTTAAACTGAAACACAAAGGCTTTGATCCTTTTTCTATGCCTGAGCATTTAGTTCATGATTTTTTCTTGTTCTGGCAGAATAATCTAGTATTTGTGTTGGTTCATTAGTGACTTGTAGCTTGCAGAAAAATAGGTTTACATTTTCAAGCTTTTCAGTTTGAAAAGTGTGGAGAAATCACACCATTCAGCACCTATGTGGTTTTGATCTTTGTTCTAATTGTTTTAAAATGAAATATAGATTGAGCAATTTGTTCTCAGTACTTCTTCTATCATGCTTAATTTGTTGCCTTTAATTATAATATTAATTATTATACAGTTCAGTTGCAAAACTCTAATCATCAATAAAACAAACCTTTAAGAATATGACTATATTTGAAATTTGACTTGGTGATTAATTTGTGAAATGAGAATTTTGTTTCTCATGTCACTTCCAATAATTGTCACTAAAGTAGAAGCTAACTTACAAAATAAATGCTGTATAAACGAGTACTGTTCTTATACTTAGTGCTAAGAAAAAGCATGTGATTTTTTTAACCTGTTAACATAACGTGGAACAAAGCCTTATTTATGATATGCATAATAATTTATAAAAAAGATTTACATTTGTAGCAAATTAGAGTGGGTTGTGATATCTATTATAGCTTGTCTTGTCCTTGGCCATTTAATTGTTAGAATATGAATACGGCTTTAGTTCTATCCTTCTTTTACTCAACATGCTGTAGAGTGAGAGTTGTGAACTTAACTTTTACTCGGTCCTCTGATTTCTTTCAGTAGCAGTCTGCTGGATGGTGCAAGTTCTTTTCTTCTCATATTTTCTTCCCATTTATCTTGAGAACATGGGGATTGATGTGATTTTATTGCTCTGTGATGTGAAATCATTTGCTTCTAACTTATCTTCATATGCATTGATCTCCCAGCGGAAGTAATGCTAAAGCTGAAGACCAATCTCTGGAAGCAAGGTACATTTGTTATTGGAATACGCCCTTTCTCTCTCATGTATGCATATGCTGCAAGGTTTTAAGGTTTATAATGTACAATACAAAAATGGCAGGCTTGAGCGGAAAATTTCTGAGCAAAATGCGGGTGCTCCTCCAAGCTATGAAGAAGCTGTTGGTGAATCTCGCAGCCCTGTACACAGTGAAAGGTAAGAATTGTTATACTACAGACAACGCTTATCCCCAACAGAATCTGTTACTTATTTTATTTTGATTGCAGAGATGTGGAAACGTCGGCAGCATCTGCTCCAAGAGATTCCTCTCATGTAAATGATAATCCTAGTCAAAGCTCTGCTCCTACAGGATCTTCTCCTGCAAACAATAATTCAACAGAAGCAATCACTGCAGCATCTGGAGCTCAGGAACCTGAGGCAACTGATGATTATTTTGATCCACGGGGTCCTGCATCAGGTGTTTATTATAGTATTATGTTGGTCACTTGGTCTTCTGTAATCAGTATTCTCGTAACAGCTCTTCTTGTTTCTTGTTTTGAAGAGTTCATACATGTTTAAGTTGAATTTTTTTTTACTTGTCAAATTATTATTAATTAGATCATCTTAGTTTCATTGGTGTAGGCTTGTATGTTAATTGTTGGGTTGAAAGTTTGGAATACACATCTCATTTATAATTTCCCTCTGCATTGTTTTCTTTAGATTATACCTTTGACATTTTAGAGTATATGTGTGTATACTCCTAAGTCCTAACAAATGTGGTTTTATTAGAAAATTATTTTGCAATGTGAAAAATTTTCACAGAAATTATTAGCTGCTCATATGTTCTGGTAACCAGGACTGTGAAATAGGTGCTGGCTACCTTTTATTGATGATTCGTTTCTAGGTTTAGATTTTTATCCTTTGACAACTTAGTGGCGTGCAGACTTTGGAGTGGTACATACATATTCACTGTTCCATGCATAAATTTTTAAACTAAATTCTAAGACAATTATTATGAATAATTTTCCTGCATCCTTTAGTGGGAAAAGTTTATCATTCACTGATGTAGCTCATTTTTTATACATATTGAGTAGCATGACACAGCTGTACGTCATGATTTGTGGTCAAGATGTGACACCCCAGTCAGACTTTGGTCTGATATACTTGTAAAACCAATGGCTCAACTGTAATTGACATTTGATGAATTTTCATTGGCAAGATTTGGGAGTTTAATGTTAATATGAGTGCTTGTTTGGATTAGCTTATTTTGGAGAAATAATTATTTTTTCTTGCCTGCTTCCTCAGCTGCCCCAGCGGGCCCAGCGGTACCAACTGCCCCTAGCACCACAAATAATGTTGAATTGGACTTGCTTGGTTCCCTCTCAGACTCGTTCTCAAATTTATCTATTGTACCATCTGAATCAACAACTGCAGCCCCTGATGCAAATGTGGGATCAACAGCTTCTTTTGCAGCACCATCATCTGGGTCCAATGATTTTAATCAGGCATGTATTTGTTCTACTGCTTCTACCTTTTTAGTGAAAGCGTGTATTTCATTCAGGCATGTGCTAAAGAGAATGGATTTGTACCGGACCTGGAATTCTTATAGTTGTGAACCTGTCAGCTTTATGCCATATCCTATGTCCTTTTTGATATAGCATGTATGATCATAACTGGTAGGTGGGAGAGCACTTGTCAAGAAATGTACTACCATATTACTTAATATTAAACCCTGTTTGAGAACTTAAATGATTTGATAGAATGCTGAAAATTATTTTATATTTCTAGAACAGCATATCCATCTCATTAGTTTTGAATGATCTTTTGATACATCTGCATCTTCGAGTATAAATCAGTCTCTATCCGTTATTTTTGTTAAAATAATATTGGTTGGTTTGACTTTTTACAGTCTTTTGAAGATCCATTCGGTGATACGCCATTCAAGGCTTTTACTTCCACTGAAACTGCTCCATCTCAATCCCTGACATATCAGAGCAATGAGCCATCCCAACCAAATGGTCTTAATGCAGAAACCAAATCTGACTTTGGGTTTGGGGAATCATTTTCTGTCGTACCATACTCTGCACCTGTTGCCTCTGACACCCAACCATTTTCTACAAACTCTCAGTTTTTGTCTCAAGATTTGTCATCTGCGCAGCCAGAAACAGATATTCTTGCAGACATTCTTCCCCCTGCACCGTTACCTGATATGAGTTCACAGCAGAACATTTCAGCACCTGGTTTTGGCCATCCTTCTTCACCTTCCTTTCCAGCTTCATCTGGTCAAATGCCATCACAACCATTTTCTGAACCAACTGGCCAATTTACCCAGCAAGGTTTCTCAGCTACTACCAATCAACCTGCACAAACCTTTCCAGTTCCTACAGATCAATTTTCTCAACAACCCTATTCTGCTCCTAATGGCCAACCAGGACAAGTACAATCATCCTTTTCATCTCCCTCCAGTCAATATCCACAACAACCCTTTTCATCTCACGCTGGTCAACATCCATTTGCATCCTCTACTGGCCAACATATTCAGCCACCTTTTGCTTCTCAAGGTGGCCAACCTGCACAATCAGGTGGTATGTATGGTGGATTGCACTCCCAGGATGGATCTCCTCATTCCCAAAATGGATATAATGGGCATATGAACAGTGGGAACATCCTGACACAGGGATCTACAGCAGCTTTTCCTTCACACCTTGCTGCCCAAACACCAACAGGACAGTTGTCACAGGGCACCAACTTTTCTCATAATGGAGGATCTACTGCTCCACATATGTCTTCCCACTCTCCAACTCATCAGTCATCACAGTTAAACAACCAGAGCTTTATTGGACAACAAGGGAATGCAGGCCCCTTTAGTTCACCAATTATCAATCAATCACTCGCTTCTAATGCTTCACAATCAAATTCATTAGTTTCTCAACCATCAAAGGACAAGTTTGAGACAAAGTCAACAGTGTGGGCTGATACACTAAGCAGGGGATTGGTTAATTTGAATATATCTGGACGTGAGTGCCTATACCCCACACCCCTCTGTATATCAGTTTCTACTTCATACTAGAGTGTTTATCTTGTATGGGACATTGTTAACTAAAATGATTTTCTTATGCAGCTAAAACAAATCCATTAGCAGATATTGGGGTTGACTTTGAAGCCATTAATAGGAAGGAAAAAAGAATGGAGAAGCCCACTACCGCAGCTGTAACATCAACTATAAATATGGGTAAAGCTATGGGATCAGGCTCAGGTATGGGCCGGGCTGGTGCTGGTGCTCTCAGGTCTCCTTCAAACCCAATGATGGGCTCTGGCATGGGTATGGGTGTGGGCATGGGCATGGGCAATGGTCCTGGTGTTGGAATGGGTATGGGAGGCTATGGAGGCATGAATCCATCAATGGGTATGGGAATGGGAGGGATGGGTATGGGACAAGGGTACCAAATGCAACCCCCAACTGGATTGCCTCCTGGCTCCAACATGCCAGGTAGTTATAATAACTCCATGATGGGTCCAGGTAGTTATGGTCAACATCCATATGGTGGTAATGGTCAACATCCGTATGGTGGTAATGGTCAACAGCCATATGGTGGTTACGGTCAACAGCCATATGGTGGCTACAGATGAGATTGATCACTATGCCTAGATAGCAAGTGCAAGTATTACAGATTGTTTTGCTACAAGTTGAGAAAAAGAAATGCCAATACAAGTGCTACTACTAGTAGACTACATCGTGACGTTTGGATTTATAGCGGTGTATCATTAAAGCTGCAATTTTCTATGAAGTGACCCAGTTATGTGTATTCTTGTTATAAATATGCTGTCACCATTCTTTTTTGGGTCATCCTTCTGTAGTTGCTTTACAGCACTGTTGTGTACCAGTGACTGGATAGAATAACTTCGGCTTATTTCTCCCTTTGCTTGTTCCACATTTTTTGAACGCCAACAGGTGGTTTGATATCAATATATTTTTTATGTGTCAAAGGTTTTTCTTTTGAGTGTTTTAATTTTTTGCGAAAATTCGTGGAGACTTAATGAGACAGGTGCAAGGGAAGATAGATATTTATATTGTGATGCTGAAGTGTTAAAGACTGTGATGGCTCAATTCTTAGTAGGCAACTGATAGCCTGCTGGACACGCGTAATGAAATCTATCTCCCTACGTGAGTGTTCTTTAACTAGTGCTTGGTTATGGCTTACAAGTCCTTTTTATTTTCTCTAGTTATCTACAGCTCCTTTTGCACTATAAAGCCATTGGTAGGCGTGTTCCAATTGATACTGAAAGGGACGAGACATTGCCAAAAGACAGCATTAATATGTCATAAAGCAAGATACGGAGTTAATACATGCCCACTGGTGATGTTGTATGCTTTCCACCTTTGTTTAAAGCTATCTGATTCTTGTTACTTTAAGTGAATGGTGTTGACACCATGCTTTTGGTGTTGAACACTGGACTTCCGATGCCATGCATTTCATGTTGACAACAGAATCTAGCCTCTGACATTTCCTATTACAAAATATGTAAACTTTAATAACCTTTTTCAAAATTATTTAGCCTCCAGAAGAATTAATACGACACTTACCTAAATACTTACAATTTTCTTTAAAAATAATTTAAACTCAAAATAATCGATGTAATTGAAAATAGCCATATACACCACTAGTGATTAAAAAATATCCTCGTAGAAGAAATTAAACGGTGTTTTGCACAAACTAGAGTTTCAAACCTCAGTCGACTTGTTTTAGCTTATAGGATATGGAACTTTCTCCTTTACCAGAACAAAGAAATATAAAATTGGGTTGACAAATCAAGGGAAATTTACACTTGTCGTATTGTATTCAAGTAGTTTCGTATAATGATAATGAATCCATGTGATATTTGAAACTACTGCTTCCATCCCGATGCTGTCGTGCACCCAAGTAGAGAACCATGTTTGCACCCATCAAGAACCATGCTGTCGTGCCTTGTTCACACTTGCCTTCATCAATATGAACCATCCATGCCCTGGGAAAAATTATTATCAACGAATATAACAAGGCTTTCTCATCCAAATGTCCATGACATGATATTGTAGGAAATTGCTTCACCTCATTAATGGCCTCAAACTCCCTACTTAAAATTAGGGTATTATGGCATGGTTGTTCAAAAGTGTAATTAAACAAGTCAACTTATTCTAATATGTTGCTTAAATACAGTGCAATTCACAAATCCAGAATTTCATAAACAAAAATGAAAGAAAAGACACCAGAGACTTTCCATTCGATGAATTCTTTGCTATACCAAAGATGAGAATAAACAAAAAAAAAAAATATAGCAAGAAGCAAAAAATTGCACACAGATCCAGAGAAGGGAAGTCTTTTATTTCGTTAAGAGGAAAAATTTCTTTTAACTGGGTAACATACCCAAACGGCGGAAAGAAATTAAATTTTTGAAAATGCAACACCACCAGTAACCCAGGAAGCACCAATCCACACTAGTTTTCTTGTTGGATTATGCTTTTACAAGATTTTATATTAATGTAAAATAAAGAAGGGCAATTTTTAAATGAGAATGTAAAATTTTATGGTAAGGGAAGTTGTTGGATGGACATGATAAATAGCAGTGTGCTGTTGGCGGATATTCAGTTGGAAAGAGTAATTCTCATGTCTTTAAAGGAAGCTCTCCGAATGAGCAGTTTCTGCAGAGCACACAGCATTTTGTTCTAGCTGGAGTAAACCTCAATCTTTTTTTAAAGGGGTTTCTCCTTTAACAGATATCTACATTCAAGGATTGGATATATTTTCATAACTGGTTTTTTAATCTCTAGTCTGATTTCTTTTTAAGGAGAACCTCATATCGACTAATCTCTTTATCTCTATTGATTTTTTTTTCTATCTCTAATAAAACAACAATGGTGGAGAACAAATTACCATTGGACTTGAGAAAAGCAATGTGGAATCACTCCAAAAATACTTGAATCCTGTCCCCCATCCTGTCTTTAAAATCTAACAAGAGTTTTCCCCCAACTTCCTCAGCCGCATCATCCAACAGTTCTTTGATGTTTATGCCACCCAAAGCTGTATAGAAATATGAAAAAAATCAACCTACAGAAATTGTGAAAAATAAGCATTGAGTTGCAAATTCAGAACGTCTATTTATATACTATATAGTAATTTCTAAATAGTAGTAGTACCAGGAACTATGTTTGTGATTCCATCCAGAAATCCAGCCTGTATGTAGCAAATTACATGTATTATGAGAAAAGGGCACAGGAAATCTTAATTGGAGCAACATTCAATTGAGCATGCACATAACTTAAAGATGAATAACTGATTGACAGAGGAGTTTACACAAGAAAGTATGCATAACCACAACATGGGGTGAAAAAGCCTTGGCATGATGCAGTACAGAACAGACAGATTGCAGATTTACATTTACAAAACAAAAGTCATTTGTACTATATTCCATTTCTCTTTTTATTCTTCCAAATAATAGGGAAGGAGAAGGGCAGGCACCAAGTGGTGGAAGAAGGTGATTAATTCGGGAAATTCAGACATCCAATTATACTACGTACACCACTATAAGGATTCCAAATAGATCAATTTAAATAATAACTCGAATGCAACATATCTGATACTTCTGCTTCCCAAGACTAATTGTTCAATCCAGACTAGAGGAATTCACGAGATTTTATTGTGGCAGCAGAGAATGGTGAGATAGCATAAGGGATTGGCATAAAAAGTTAGAATAAATAGAAACACACATGGATCTTTGACATATGTAAGAAATTGTGCAAGAATGAAAAAGAAATCGTGTAATTGGAATTCTAAAGACAAAGATGCAGTAACTTATGGTAAAATCATTCATACCAAAAGTGGAAGTCAGTAGGCCCCATCCTTAACTAGTCCTGAGTCTTCTGACCAATTAATATGAGCAAATCATTATTCTTATTTTAGTGCAATTGGAAGGTATGATCACTTACAGGAATCCTAAGATCGAGCCTCTCAAATCCATCTCTGCCAGTTATTTTGACTCTGAGAGTTCGAGACCAGATACCAGAAAAAGGGTTCCTTGAACTATCTGCACCATATTTATTGTACACATCATCAGGTGATATAACTTCTACAATGGGATCTTTGAAACTTTGACTTGTCTGCTCAGTATCAACTTGATCTCTGCGTCGTATACTGTATAGGCTACTGCTTTCTGACAAATAACTAATTACTATGAGAATGCAAGAATGAATGCATAATATATATTTACAGTATGAAAATCAGCACGAGACCTTTACTTCTGTCTTTGACTCTCCCCTAGAGCTGAAACAAAGAGACTCGCTTATGAGAAGTTAGTGGTCTAATTTTCTCTCAACTCATGATTATCTATGATTAATTAAATGGCTTTTATTTGTTTTGATAGAATACTAATCAAATATTTAATTTGTTATTCTGCTTGAACATATCCATTGCACATAAGTAGACCCTGATAAAGTTCAAATGCTTCTCTCCACATGCAGATGAATTCACCAGGTTATTCATCATCAATTGAATCCTCCCAAACCCAACACATGTTTATGAAAGTAAAGTGCTGAAATCATTAAGTAATAGTTTGTTAAAGATAATGATTGGCAGCTAACAAGAAATCTAAAGTAGGCATAGTTTGCTTATGAGTCTGAGAAGCCTACTGCCATTACACTACAATGTCCCTTTATAGAAGAAGGGTTAATATTACTTATTTTTGTGTTAAGATCTGTCCATCCTACCTCCTTTAGAAAGCTGCTGATTGTTACTTGTAGCATAACGCTTCTCTTCTTCATAGTAAGCATTGAACCCTAAGATATCCTTAATTTCTTCAAAAGAAGGCATGCTTCCTGGAGGAGGAATACGACCTCCTTTAATGGCTATAAGTGAATCCTACAAATGCAATCATAGATATTATTTATCTGCAAATAATAAAATCTAATTGATACTGCAAAAGAAACATCAGAAAAAAGTGATATAATTTCAAGAATAATGAGTTCAACACTATGGCTTGTTATAAAGGAGGTGAAAAGATAAAGTCAACGACCTCACTCGGTCAGTTCAACTCACCCCTCTCTTATTTTTCATCCAAATCAAAAGGTACATGAGTAGCAGACTATCAGGAGATCAACTCTTCCTAGTAGCTTTGTTTAGGCCGAGCTCCATTATACAGGTTGCTTCCTTTTATTTGCTTAGGACCTTTAGGCATTCTGTTGCTCAATATTATATTTGATAGTACAACTTGTTTTGGTATATAATTTGGCTAAGCATATAAATATAATAGATAGGATTGGCATTACGCAGGCATTTTGGTTCACTTAACACGAGCTAGGATTGGGTGGTGAATGTAAAAAAAATCACAAACAAGTAATTAGTTAGCAGATCTCATTCCAAACCTGAACTTAATGCACATATAATATGAACCAATCCATTCGAAGGGGAAAAAGAAGGAAGACAAATGACCTGCATTGCTCGTATAGAAACCCCGATCAAGGAAAGGGGATATGCAACGATCTTAAAACCAATCTCTTCAAGCTCCATAGGATTAAGTATCGGCGTCTTGCCACCACCTTCGAGCATATTGGCCTACACAAGAGCAGAGCACGACCCAACAAATCATTCCAAGTAGGCAGAAGCAAGCAAGCAAGGCATTCATCTCTTCAATTAACAGAATCATACCATTTTGGGAACAAGCGGAGAAACTTCGCAAAAAGCCTTCATCTCTTCTCTGGAAGCAAGAGCGTCTATGAAAAGAACATCAGCTCCAGCATCCGCGAACGCCCTCGACCTTACAAGCGCTTCATCCAACGACACAGCTTGGCGAGCATCCGTTCGTGCCACAATCACAATATCAGAACCACTCTCTCTTCTCGCATCCACCGCCGCCTTAATCTTCATCACCGCCTCTTCTCTCGACACCACTCTCCTCCCGCGCGTGTGTCCACACGCTTTCGGCGCTACCTAACCAACAACATAATCAACTCAATCATATCGATAAGCTGAGTCTATAACAACAGAAACTTAACTAACTAACCAACTCGATGTTCGAATTGTGCGTCAGAAACTAATTATCGAAAGACTGAGATCTGTTGATAAAACCTAACTGACCTGATCTTCGAGAATGATTCCCGCGAAACCGGCGGCGATATATCCCTTGAGAGTTCTCTTGAGGTTCATGGCGTTGCCGTAGCCGTTGTCGGCGTCGCCGATGACGGGAATGGAGACGGCCTGGGTGATGAGGTGGCCTTGATCGAGAATTTCGCCGTAAGAGATGAGGCCGGTGTCGGGCAAGGCGAGTCTGGAAGCCGAAATGGAGAAGCCGCTGGTGAAGCAGAATTGGAAGCCGGCGGTCTGAACGAGCTTGGCGCTTAGAGCGTCGAAACATGCCGGTCCTTGGTGAACCCCCGGGGAGTCGAGAATTCGGCGAAGGAGATTGGCGGGAGACGAAGGAGAAGGAGCATCGTTCCCACCGAAAGAACACGCTATGGCAAGTGATGATTTGGATGTTCGGAGGAACGAAACGGAAGGATATTGAAATGGGAGGGGTTGACAACCACCGCCACCCCCACGACTGGTAAGAGTAAGACTGACCGTAACATTGGCACAGGACGTGGCAGTGCCAACCACTGAAACCTTCATTGCTCTCTACTCTTCACTTCCCTCTTTCTTACTACGTATTTCTCTTCCTATGTCTCTCTACATACTTTCGAATTCAATAGTTTTTTGTCGTTAGGTCAAATTTTTTCAACTATTTCACTCCTGCTAAAAATTATCAACTCTTTCCGCCACAGAAGTCGTATATATTAAAAGAGAATTCATTCGGATTGATTAATTTTCATCTTAATATTTTTTTTATAATACATATGTTTCAAAATAATTTATCCTAATTTTTATATTATAAAAAGTAATAATAAAATTAAAAATAAATATATATCTCATTCTTAAAATAAATAAATAAGTCTTTCTTTGTAACTAAATAAAATAAAATATTTAAATAAAAAGACTAATTTAATTTGAGAAAAAAATTAAAATGAAATATAATTAATGTTAATAATAATTATAAGAATTTTGAAAATCTCATTTGTGATTTTTAATCCAGTTAATATAAAATCATTAATTTTTATCATAAACAATCATTCTCATATACGTCCCACTGTTGTTAAGGAGTAGGTTCTCGTCTTACAAAATGTTATTATTTTTTCCAACCCATATTTTTTTCATCCGTAATACTAGTCTATATTATTGGAAGACTTCATTAATAATCTTTAATAGAATTTTCTCTTTCAATCATTTCTTTTTTCATCCATACAACTGAGCCAACTACCATTTGAATCATTATTGGCAAGAGGGAATGCATCAGGTGGAGTGTGTCACTGCTGCACTGGATCTCAATATACCGGTATGGACTCCCTGGAGGTAGATTCCCTTCTCTAAATTATCATAGACATTCACCACGAAAAATTACTAGAACTTTAGAGCAGGAAACTTAATCAAATTTGTCAAGATTGTCTATCCCAGAGACATTTTAAGAATAGAAGTATCACCCCAAAGACAAGACTGAGAACACAAGTACCACATGTCATCAACTACAAATACCCATCAACTACAATACCCTTATTAAAGGGTTGTTGTTACTTATTTCTTTTAAGATTAGTCTCCTCAACCTCCTCCCTTTTCAGCCTGCTGATTGGTGCTTGTAGCATAGCGCTCCTCTTCTTTATAATAAGTGTTGAAACCTACAATGTCCTTAATTTCTTCAAACGATGGCATGCTTTCTGGAGGAGGAATACCGCCTCCTTTAATTGCAGTAAGTGCATCCTACAGATTCAGTCAGAGATATATTATTTATTTGTAAATAAAACTCAAGGAAATTAAAGCATCAAAACAGAGGTTAAATAGGTTAAAAGAATAATGCATCCAATACTTTTGGTCTGTTAAATGGGAGTTAAAAGCGGGTAAAGGTGTAACTCCTCTACCAACAACTCACAGGCAAGCACCACGAGTATCTCTGCTATCTGATCTAAGTCCTAAACTTATCAGCGCAATAAGGCACCATCAACGCAATAAAACAATAAATGGGAATGACATATCACCTGCATTGCCCGTATGCAAACCCCAATCAAGGAAAGTGGATAAACAGCAAGTTTATAACCAACGTCTTCAAGTTCCTGAGGACTAAGTATAGGCGTTTTGCCTCCTCCTTCAAGCATATTGGCCTACATAACACGAGGGGGGATTACAGGTTAACAACCTGAAAGCGTTAGACTTCATATCTTGGGTCGTAATAACAAATGGTCAGTAACAAAGCCACTAACTTATTAGAAACGAATTGAACTGATTCATTCTCAATAGATAAGTTAATAGAGGAGGATTATAGAAGATATCTTGACATTCAAGACTAGAGAGGCCCAAAGTCCCCTTAATTTGATTCATGAGCACTGCATTTGTTGATTGAAGAGTATTGTAAATATAGGAGTGGATCTATACTAGTTCTACTAAGAGGTAATCCATGCATTATGAGTAGAGAGAGAGAAAGAGATGAAGATACCAGTTTAGGAACATGGGGTGAAACTTGACAAAGAGCTCTCATTTCTTCAACGGAAGCGAGTGCATCTATGAAAAGAACATCGGCCCCAGCGTCCGCAAATGCCTTGCACCTGCTGAGTGCTTCCTCCAACGACACAGCTTGCCGAGCATCGGTGCGCGCCACAATCACGATATCAGAGCCGCTCTCTGTACGAGCATCCACGGCGGCTCTAATCTTCATCACGGCCTCTTCCCTGGGTAACACCTTCCTGCCGCGCGTGTGCCCACACGCTTTCGGCGCAACCTGTCCAATTCAAGTCCAATTTAGCCAATAATAATAAGAGTGATGGAGGGAAGGTAAAAGTAAGTGACCTGATCTTCGAGAAGAATCCCTGCGAAGCCGGCGGCAATGAAACCCTTGACGGTTCTCTTGACGTTCATGGCGTTGCCGTAACCATTGTCAGCGTCGACGATGATGGGAATGGAGACGGATTGGGCGATGATTTGGCCCTGATCGAGCATTTCGCCGTAAGAGATGAAGCCGGTATCAGGTAAAGCCAACCTGGAAGCGGCGATGGAGAAGCCGCTGGTGATGCAGTAGGGGAAACCAGCAGCTTCAATGAGCTTGGCGCCGAGAGCGTCGAAGCAAGCGGGGCCCTGGTGAACGCCGGGGGTTTGGAGGAGTTGCCGGAGCACCTTCACCTTCTCCATCATATCCTTCTTCACTATTTCACTTCTCTACTTACCAACAAATCTCTCCCTCACTCTATCTCTCTCACCTTTGCCACTTTATCATAAAAGGTGCCAACACACGCGTCCAATTTATTTGTCTTATAAAAATATGTATTAATCATTCAAAATACGCTTCACATCAAGCTTTATCCCCCCCACCCCGTGGAACACACGCCCTATAAATAATTCTCTACCATCTTTAAAAGTACTCTTGTTTTTCAAATGAGATTTCAATCTTTCCATTATCTATTTAATAAATGCATCACATGTTCCTCAAATAAAACTCCAAAACTTGTTTAAAACCAGCACTTTTTAATATTTTAGAATGTTGTGGTAGTGGTAATTATTACTACCGTCTTAATTGTAATTTAAGCATCAGTAACATATCCCTCCCAATCCCTTCACTCTCTTCTATCTCCTCACCTCCTCCCTCTCTACCCACACCCTCCTCTCTGCCTCCACTACTCCAAGCTCCAAACGCCCCCTAACCAATCCCCATCATTTTTCACCGTTTATAATTTAAAGAGACTAAAAGTAAAAAAACCAAATTATATTAAAATTTAAAGAGAAAAATGCTCATTTCTACAGTTAAACTTATCACTTTGTTTATAAAGTTTTTTTTTTATTCTTTTTCTTTTTTTCTTACACCCATCCAAACAAGCAAGGAAACTTTATATATTTTTCCTTTCTATTTCTCTACTTTTTAACCACCAATTTTCATTTTATTGTATCCTTTCCAATTCTTAAACTTAGCATTTCCTTCTCTTCATTCCTTTTTCATGTCACTGTTTCGAATAATAAAGGCAACCTTAATTGAGTACAAAGGAATACTACTAATTTGTCTCCAAAAGTTTTCAATTTCTTGGATTATTTTTCTTCCTGTAAATAATAGATAATTAGCAACATGCTAGCTACAAAATGGATATTGATCACCAGGTGATGAAGAGTTTCTAAAAATTCTATCTAACGAACGTTTAAACATCTTTTAAAATACAAGACATGTAGTACTCCTAGAAGCATGTGAAGGAACAATTGTTCCTTGGATTGCAATCTTGAAGGAGCTGCCAATACAAAATAATTTCCAACCTTTGAGGATACTTTTCCTCATGATTTTTTCATGTATGAATAATCTGTAGGTCTATACTAAGCTACCCAGGTTTTTGAGCTTCCAGCTGTATTTCCTTTACTATGATTTCCTGAATTGGCTTCCTCATCCTGTTTGACTCCAGGGCGAAGATCATCCGCAGAATTTGGAGGGTGCTGATCCTCGTCTCTGTTCCCACTGCAATAAGATGAAACACCAAAGTTAAAATAATAATAATAATAATAATAATAATAATAATAATAATAACTAAATAAAACTTAATCGATTAGAAATATTAAAGAAGATAATTCGTTTCCTGAATCAAGTTAGAGATGAAAACTAGGTGTGAAACTACAGCTTTATAAGTTAGAGAAGCACGAGATTAAACCTACAACAGCTGACTGACAATATTTGTAACAGCATAAAATCATGGACTATTAAAACTATTTTTGATCTTGAACCGACTTAAAATTTATGTAGGTCTTTTTCTAAATTACTGCGTCAATACGTTATGAAAAGAAAACAGAAAGCCACAAGTAGAAATGGAAACCACTAAATCTGGAATACAGAAAATAGCTCAGCATAGAGCACCATGCTAATGTATAGCTCAAAGTCCCTTACTAGGCACACGTCTAAGACAACATAAACCACCCATCACTTCAGATCTGAATGTGTGGTTAATGCTCATTGATACTCAATGCTCCCAACAGAAACTATGTGCGAAGAGAGTGTATGCAACGATACTTACCCTGAATAGATGACAAGCCCAATGGTAACGGCACCAAATGCCACAAAGTACATCCAATCAACCTGGAAAGCATAATTAGCTCAAGAGAAGTTAGCACGTTGAAAATGTGGCTCACATCTAGTAGGAAAGAATAAAAAACTGTACATTACTATCAGACCTTTTCATGGTATGCAAAAATGCGAATTAAGACAGCCCACATGTCTGAGGTCAACAGAGACAGATTAAGCATGGTAGAACCATTGATCTGTGACAAGCCAAGAGCATATTTAAATACTACATATCGGTGCAAGTTGGACGATGGATATTTATCATACGTCTCTTTTTGTTAAGCTAATTGCGAAAAATGGCACGAGAAAGATGCTATTGCCAGTTAGAAATTAATAGGCTACAATATTAGGTAAAATTTCCCCAATGCTAGGAAAGAATTTCAAGAAATTTGATGGGTAAGAAATTTTTCTCAGAGCTACATAATTATTAAATTGTTTTGGCTCTGAATTAAGTATCAGTGTAAAAAATTATAGAGAAACATTTAGAGAGAGGGAGAACCAAACCAAATAACTGCATCCTAGAGTTTCTTTTTAATGAATTATTTTCATTAGTCCCATCCATTTAATTTTGGTACATCTATTCAATCATTTTATTCCAGATTCATAAAACAAATATGACTTCTTAAAAAAATATAACCAGAATGGCTATGGTTTGAATCCATACCTTAAGCAGAACAGGGACTAAAGAATAAAACATAAACATGGCCACTGCAAATCCAACAAAAGGAAGCGCCTGAAATCAAAATTGAAAGAAATTAATATAAATAATAATGTTTAAAGAACTTACATCACTCTAGTTGACATGTGCAACAACATAATAACTTGAATCAGGCATCCAGTTAAAGTGAAATTCTGTCATTTACTTAATTTTAGTGAGATAGTGATAAAGAGAGCTTACTGCCTCTGCCGACCAATGAATAGATTTAAGTTCATTGCGCTCAAGTATGCTTCTGTAATAATAATGAAGGATACAACAGGAAAAAGATAATGTAATAATTCTAGAATTTTACTCCCTGGATAAAAGTCTTTATTTTTCCTTGATCAAATTACATATCATAATCGCCATTACTTCATTTGACAAAAAATCTCTCCAGACTATTAGAAAAATAAGTCATTAATTTTAAAAACTTGAAGTTGGAACTTAATTGAAATCTCATATCTGTCAACTGTGACTACAAGTCGATCAATTTAAAATTTCAAATTTAATTCCCAAATCACAATCCTTAATACAATATAATTATTACACAAAATAATTTGTTAAACCATTGAGCAAACCAATATTATTTGGCATAAATATTCATGTTAGATGCATAATGCTACAGAAAAGGCATGTATTGAAATGCCAAACAAATATGATCATGTAGTACGCTAGGATAAAAGTCAGAACAGATAGATCCCATAGTTCTCATAATATAGTAAATTTGAAGGATACATTTGAATGGCACTAATAATGCCACCAGAGAGACCTAACATCGCCATAAGCTCAACTCTATCAGCATTTTTTACAAGAAATTCCTGCAATAACAAAAGAAATAACAGTAACTAAAAAGACAATTACACATGATAAAAAGAAATAGCCTAAACTAGTGGAAGGCAAACAGAGAAATACTAACCTAATAAGAATTTACATTTAGGATACAAAGCGCAACCTTTGAATAGCAATCAATATTTTCAATAATAATTAGCGAATATATATATTTTTTGTGTTGTTCCACGCTATCAACTGTAAGAAAGTTGAAATATACTTTAAAGCAAAAGATAATCAGCTTACCTCACTGACATTACTGATTGCATACAATGTAGCCCCAGCAATAACAAGAAGGTCGCCTTTACGAGGACTGCTTCCACCTATAACAGGTGAATATGATATCACATAACTACTACAAATGGAATTCCTCATGTTACTGATGATATTAAATATAGGATTAAAATTTACTAGTTTTGCAAGGTTTCTAAGCATACTTTATATGGAATACTAGCACACACTTTTTCGATAAGCTTGAGTGGGGCTATATGTGTTCACGTATAGATAAAAGATATAGATGACAGTACGCAGTACAAAAAATCCCACCCACCTGCACGGTCACCTGCATGAACGTCAGAAAACACAACCAGGACAAGGCCAGCAACGCAAACAACTACACCAGTAATTTTTTTGAATCTATATTTAGTCTTCAAGAAAAGCCATGTTAGAAGCATGACGGACGGAATTGACCAGCAGTCAAGTAGCATCACACTTGTAAGTGAGGTGTATTGGTATGCCTTCACAACTGTTCAGTAGACGAGAATTAGTTTAGAGATAATTGCAAGTACGACCATCCAATTCAACATAGGGCTTGCTTTGTTTTAATACATAGGAAGAGTCCAATAAATCTAAAAAGAAAGGAGGATCACACTTGATTGTTTGAGCAGACTGCATATAAATATATTAATTCCTCCAATGTCTTTTATAAATAATATCATGTCTTCATCCAGTAACATGAAACACTTACCAAGAAAATTTGCTTCTACATCAACCAATCCGAGAATTACATAATAGTACCATTTTGCCTGTGTTAGAAGCATATGAAGTTAGTGAAGTTGTCTTCAAATGTTTTACTGAGAAGAAAACTGATCAGAGGAAAAGCGGCACTGTCACACTCTCTCCTTAAAGAAGATATAAAGAATATCATTTCTGTTTCTCAAAAACCAAAAAATTGTTATCTTCTACGATGCCTGATAATTTCAGATCAAGAGCAACAGAGAGAAAGGGATATTTGGAAAAGAGTCTACCAAGTCAGCTGGTATTCATTCATTGAATCGACAGCAGCTATTTAGAATACGGGGAGAAGCATAAGGAGTTGAAGTGTGCAATAAAATACAGAGATCATAGAAAAAATTTGAAATGTTCTTGCCATCAGTCTCTTTTAATCCAATAACAGGAAAATAGTATTATAAGACATGATCGTAATCTAAGGCATTGCATGGTATTTTGCAAATAAAAATTTGGGAAGTAACCACGTAGTTTTATAACCTTGAGTGGTTTTCTTCGATGTAGGAGAATAGTTCCATAGACAAGCGTCAAGAACACATAGTTGAGAAACGACTGTGAAGTGGGAGCATTAATTCCTACAAAGATGAGGAAATGACATGAGTCGTTTAAACATTACAAGAAGAGAAAAAGATGAAGCTTGGTATAAATAAATAAAAAACAAATAAATGGAGGGGATGGAGGAACCTTTTTTAGCCAATTCAGAAGAAGTGAATCCTGTGGAAGTGATGAGGAGAGAAAGAAATTGTCCCAAACCCAGACCTATGAGCGTGTTTCGAGTGCAAAGCCTACCAAAATTCAACGTCATATTTGCCCTCAACTCAATCAAGAACAGTGCAAATGAATAAAGGAAGGAATGAGAGGTTGTTTAAATTAGAATTGCGTTTCAGAGGGAATGAGTAAGGAGTGTATGTTTGTATTAATGGGTGGTTGGGAAAGTGAGAGTGAAAAAGAGGGAGGAGCCGAAACGAAACCAAAGAGCATATTGAATTTGAAGCAATGCCTTTCAGCCGTCAAGTATTCGTCTTCCATTCCATAGTCTTATCAAAATCCCTTTTCCTTTCTCTCACCTCATCCATCAACCATTGACCTTTTTATTTTATTTTCATCCACCGTCAATAATTAAGCTCAATCACTTACTTAATTTCAGTAATTATTGATTCTTTTTCATTATTATTTTTAGTAATAATTTTTTTTAGTAATTCTATATATTTTTCTTCAATAACATTATTTAAAATATAATAAACATAATACATAATCATACTATAGACGTAGAATTGATGTACCACATTATAACACGATCGCATCATCTATTACTATTCTTTTAAATCACTTAATAATATTTATTGAAGAAATAAAAAAAAAAAAACTTAAATTTAATACTATTTCAATTAGAAGGAGTGAACATAGTTGCTTTTGGTGATTTTGTTGGTAGTGGGACAGATTTTGAGGATCACCTCCTAAGGTCCCAAATCATCAAACACGTTTGTCTTTAGGTAAACCATAATAGTCAAAACCTTTCTCTGCTCCACTTGAAAATGATCAACTTCTTTTTTTGTCACGTGACGATGTTTTTCTTTTGATACATATATTTCAAAAATACACTTTAAAATCTGGAAAATTACATTTGATCGTGAGTTGTTTCCGTTAAACAGTATTTTCCATTGGCTAGGTTCTGTTTGTTTGACATACAGTAAGTGTCTTTGGTCAGCTTTATCCTTTTAATAAAAGAAAGTGGTGAAGGCAAAGTTATGCCCTGCCTTTACTCTGAATGGTTAACACCCTCTTTCAGCCGCGTAACGTGCTTTTCCTTTTTCTCGCTTTTCGGCTGTTCACTTCACTTTACTTTTTATTATTTCCTAACTTTAGCTTCTCCTTTTTGCTTTTAACGTGCCAAAATTCTACGTCCAGCAATAAGATACAAACAAAAGATTAACCAAAAAATATGCAAAACATGTTGGACCACTATCGAATATGGTTTATTCACTGTGTTTAATAGACATAAACAAATAGTTAATTTTACTATGTTATTACAAAAGTAATGATTAGTAGATAAATAATGTTATTCTCATTGAATTTCTATTTTTTTTATTCACACTAATTTTATCATATACTGTTTTTTATATCTGTCAAAAATAACATTTCTATTACCCTTCTTATTTAAAAATAAAATAAAAAAAAATCAAGGTAGTGTAGAGTGTCAGAAATACAAGCTACTGAAAGTGTTCAGTGGCAGAGACTGCACAAGCTGAGATGGCAAATTAGAAGTCAGCAACTTTTGCGGAATATATTCCCCAATCTAGTTTAAAAGTCAAACCACTTATTGAATAAAGAAAAAAAAGGCTAATTATAGTTTTTTATTTTATTTAAGAAAGCCTGAGACTATTAAGATATTGTTTTAATGTAAATTTTAATACATATATTTTTTTAAATTGAAAAAAAATCATATAAATTATTATTTTCCATTTTTAAAACTCGTATTTTAAAATATATATTCAACTAATAATCTTACTAATACAAAAATACACTTTTATATATATACAAAAAATGGAACACACAATTGCCATAGCCTCTACCAACGTCTTATAAGTTGCGTAGAGCCCAAATATCATTTGTTTTATGGCTTCTTCTTTTCTTTTATTTTTTTCCTTCACTCCATAATTTCTTCATGCATAAATTAAATATTTTTTTATTCTTATATTTTTCTTTTAGAATGCAATTCTAAAAATATATTTCAAAACATTCATTTTATGTTTATGAAAAAATCAATTCATAAATACATTCGAATTAGGTTGTTCAGATGCATTTTTTTAGTAGACATTAATCTTGAATACATTTCTTGAACACATATTTCAAAATATTTAATTCAAAATGTATTTTTGGATAAGATATTTTGAAATTCAATCTTATTTTCACGATATTGTTATGTATTAAACAATTTAGGTTTTTTTTACAATTTGAATACAATAACATGTAATTCATACATAATATTAATTATTATTTATCTTTAATTATTATAAAAGATCTTTAATGGATGTGATAATACAAAAATTAGCTAAGGGATGGAGGTGCAGAAGTTATACACAAATAAAAGAATAAGTTAGGGTAAAAATTAAAATTATGGAAAAAGTATTTTAGATATTTGAATTGGAGTGGAAAAAGTATTTTAGATATTTGAATTGGAGTATGAAAATGTAGAGAGAAATTATGGGGTACAGAAAGCAACAACATTATCTTACAAGAGTCCAAATTGACTACCACACAAAATGGTCCGGAGACTAAAATCCAGTCCATGCTCCTTCTATGGTCAACTGTAGGTATGGAACGAGGCAGGATAGGGCCGGATTTTGTCTTCGGGTTCCTGCCTCCAACTTTTTTAGCAGTTCACGTTCCCATCTCTCGGTCCAGCTTAGAAATTAAGTCTTGATCTTTGTCCCATTTTATTATTATAATATTATATTCAAATATTTAAATACTTATAACATTATTATTAATATTATAATATTATATTTAAATATTTGATTATATATAAATTAATTTATTTTTAAGTTGTCATTTAAAAATATAAAATATATAATTTATAAATAAATATTTAATAAAATAATTTGTATTTAATTAGTTTAAAGTAATCAAAGTTTAAGTTATCAATTCTTTTTAATCTTTTAAAATATAATTATTTTATTAAGATAAAATTTGATATGTGACAAATAAAAATAATAAAATCCAGAAAATATGATATAATAAAACATAATAAATATAAATTATAAATAAAATAATATTAATTACTATTAAGATTTATGTAAAATATTTAAAAAAAGATAAAGAAAAAAAAACAACTTTGTGTTCATGAAATTGGTTGACAAGATTAAAAAAATTGATTAGAAAGATTAAGGAAATGTGAAAAATTGAAAGATAAAAGAAAATGAATAATGTAATAAATTAATTGATGTAAAAGATTAAAAAAATAAAGAAATTAAAAAGTGAGTAAAAAAATGATCTTATATGTAATAGAAAAAAATAAAATACTTTTAAAATATTAATATTTTAAAATTTAAATACAAAATTGCGATAGACATTATATTACCTATTCTCCTATTATATTTACGACTTTTTAAAATGGAAAAAACTCAGTTCTCAATCAATTTAATTTTTTCTCATCAAACTCATGATGAGAATAGATCAATCTTTATAAATACAAGCTTAATTGTCCTCACAAGTCAAATGAGTTTTATATATTTATATTATTTTTCCTTCTTTGCTTTACTTTTTTTCTTAAAATGTTACTCAATTAATCTAATTTTCACAAACAGCTAACCACGAATTAAAATGTTATTGAGTTGTGTGTTTCTATTAAAATGTCATTTTTAACCAGAGGGGAGTAATTTATTAATACTTCGTTAATCATTCTAATAGATGAGTCCAATAGAATTTTGAAAATACTTACAAAATGATAATATCAACTGTCTATAAAGTTTTAAAATAGTAAATGGTTTATTAATAATTTCAGAATAAAATTGTTGATAATGTCACATTAATAGCGCTGGCATGCATGCTTCAGAATCTTGCACCGTTGCAAGGTCATTGGCATCTTGCATACCTCTGCCTTTTGCCATACTCAAATTCTACTTTTACATCACAATATATAAATATGAAACACTTAATCAAGTTTTATAATTTCAATACAAAATTTAATTCAATATATTAATATGAAAAGTTCAATTTATCTTCTCGTTCTTATTATTATCATTATTATTAAAAATGTTGGTATAATATAAAATAATGATTGTATTATAATTTTTAAACAATAACTCGACTCACTTTTTATTTATAATTTAATTATATATATATATATATATATATATATATATATAATATGTAAAAAAGTTGATGATTCGGATAAATAAGCTTTTTTTCTTCCCACGTGTTTTTTTAAATATAAAAAGAAGTAAATGTAAATATTTATCTTGGAAAAAGTTTCAAACTTTGATTTACATCACTAGTTATTTAATGTTTTTAGAAAGTAGATTAATTAGTGTTACATTTATGACTGACCATATTTTTTCTGAAAATGGTTATTATATATATTTGAGTCATTCAATAATTAAGAAGGCTTTATATCTTCTCAAAGTAAAAAGATTTTACATATAGTTACTTGGCACGACAAATAGAGTCATAGAATTAAGAAAAATTATTCGCACTGTGAAATTTAAGAAATTAGAACCAGAAACTTTTGCTTTCCCCCTATCTTTCTCATTTTGTCCTCAAATCAAACCCATTCGGTTATTTACCTGAAGAACAACTTCAAATCTAAAACGTAATGTTTGGGAATTCACGTGGCATAAAACTCATCCAACCAATGATTTATTTCTCATCAATTTTTATTTTTATCACAGCGCTTTTCATTGCGTGACTCATGCTGTTTTCTCCACTAAAATATTGATTAGGACTAAGATTCTGCTTCATTCACTCACTCCCACCCATACAAACACAGATACAAATACAAACATAGGATGACGATGATGATGATGATAATGAAGTCGAACACCCCGTGTCTCAAAATCTTATCCATCGTTCTTCTCTTCGCTTCTCTCTTCTTCTACATCCTCGTTGCTCCCTCTTTCTTCACTTCACCTCATCTCAACCAACACGTGTATTTGCAACCCCACTTTGAGTTCTGCCCAAGTAACTACACCAATTACTGTCCATGTCAAGACCCCATAAGGGCCAGACGCTTCCCCAAAGCGAAATGGTTCCGCAAAGAGCGTCACTGCCCGGAGAGAACTCAAAGGTTGAGGTGCCTCGTTCCAACTCCACCGGGCTACCAAACCCCGTTTCCTTGGCCTAAGAGCAAGGAAACTGCATGGTTCAGTAACGTGCCTTTTCCCAAGCTCGTGGAGTATAAGAAGTCGCAGAATTGGATTAGATTGGAAGGTGACCGTTTTGTGTTTCCTGGAGGTGGCACTTCGTTTATCGACGGTGTCGAGGCTTATGTTCATGATCTAAACCATCTTCTTCCAGTGTCTTTGGAATCTGGGGATATTAGAACAGTGCTTGATGTTGGTTGTGGGGTGAGATTGTGGTTAACTTAGTTATCTTGTATCTTGTGTTATTTCCTTTCTTCTATTTTTCTTTCTTTAAACTGCATCGCTGTCTTATCTTTATGTTTATTCTGTTGTCCTCTCTTGTTTGGCTTGTTATCATAGTGAAAAATAAGGTTTTCATTGGAGGAGTTTCACGTTAAAGAAAACCAGAGAGCTTTTCAGGATGTATTGGGTTAAATAGTTAAGTATTTTACTCAGTAAGCTATTATTAAATGAGAGCTTATATATAGTAGTAATAAACTTCTTCATGAATTGAAGTTTACTAAAGCAAATTAAACAAAAAGACTAATAGGACTGATTTTTTAACTTGCTGAGAGGCATTTTGATTCTTTTAATTTTCTATCCATTTTGCAAAATGTAATGCCAATACAAACCTGTTTTGAGTGTCCTTTAATTTTGATTAGTTTTGTTTCATATTGAACCTATTTATGTCTTGGAAATTTCACTTGGGCTAATGAAGCATGGTTCATCTTTTTGAGTTTATTTATTAGTACTTAATTTAAACAAAACTGAATTTCTTTCTTAATGAATTAACAATATATCTTTTTGATAATGTAAAAAATTTAAACTCTTACTTATCCTTACTTACTTGTAATGAATGTGTGTTTTAAATATGCATACTCCCAGGTTGCGAGCTTCGGAGCTTCTCTGATGGACTATGATATCTTGACAATGTCACTTGCGCCAAGTGATGAGCATCAATCTCAAGTACAGTTTGCCCTAGAAAGGGGACTCCCAGCAATGCTTGGTGTACTAAGCATTCACAGGCTAACATTCCCTTCAAGATCATTTGATATGGTGCATTGCTCTAGATGTCTTGTCCCGTGGACTGATTATGGTATTACTTTAATCTTTTTCACTTTGTCCTTCTTTCAATCTGAGTGTTGAAAAGTTCTATGTGGCTATCTCATTTATTGGGATGTCGCCATTTTACTTAATATTTTATACCATGGGGAATCTAACATGATATGGATTTATATTATATGGAACAACTTGATTTAATGCCATAAACACTAATTAATTGTAGATCTTGGTTTCCACTGATGATGCTATTTTGATATTTGTTTAATGGTTAAAGACGGGCTATACCTAAGAGAGATTGATCGAATTTTGCGTCCTGGTGGATTTTGGGTACTGTCTGGGCCACCCATAAATTGGAGGGTAAACTACGAAGCATGGGAAACAAAGCCTCAGGTGCTAAAAAAGGAGCAAGACATTTTAGAAGACCTTGCAAAACAACTGTGCTGGGAAAAAGTTGCCGAGAGAGGTCAAATTGCTGTCTGGCAAAAACACATGGATCATATCAGCTGCATGAAAAATTTAAAGACTTCGAGATCCCCTATGTTCTGCAACTCATCTGAGTCTGACCTCGATGCTGGGTGGTAATTTCTTTATTTCAACTTACAGGATATACAAATGAGAAAAATAGATTGTATGATTTTTAGACCTGCTAAGAAATATCTCGTGGAGAATAATATTATAAAAAGTTGATTTTTAAGTGTTGCAAGTAATATTGCGTTTAGTAGGACATATTTTTGTTGTTGTTGTTGCTGTACTATTGTTGATGGAAATTTGTATTTTACAAAAGGTTTCTCTTGTTCTGAATCCATACAAAAACTTTGAATTTTCTGTTTTGCTAAGGATTTGTGATCAATTTTTCTCATAGTCTGTTTGTCATTTTCTCTTGTATTATATTTATACTTCATAGGTATATGAATGAACTATTCAACAGGTATACCAAAATGACTGCATGCATTTATCCTCTTCCAGACATGAAAGATGTCCATGAAGTATCTGGTGGCGTTCTTGAGAAATGGCCTACGAGGTTGAAAACCGTTCCACCAAGGGTTAGAAATGAAAATGATGATGGCTTTACACTCAAAGCCTATATTAAAGATAATGAGACATGGAAAAGGAGAGTGTCCGATTATGGGGTCATGCTTAAATCCCTCTCTTCTGGTAAATATAGAAATGTTATGGATATGAATGCTGGGTTTGGTGGATTTGCAGCTGCAATGGAGAAATATCCTGTTTGGGTTATGAATGTCGTTCCCTTTGATACAAAAAGCAAAGATCTTGGTATTATCTATGAACGAGGCCTTATAGGAACTTACATGGACTGGTATTCACATATATTCCTTTCCCATTTTCCCTTTTTCTCCAATCTAAACTTACTTGCATACTGTGACAGATGATTCGTTTTTATCTTGCTGCATATATTTATTTTTGTCTTTTTCTGCATCTGATTGTGTAAATAATTAATGAAGGAACAACATTGTCTTGCTTGCAGGTGTGAGCCTTTTTCGACATACCCACGAACATATGACTTGATACATGCAAGTGGTATATTTAGCATGTACATGGACAAGTAATAAGTTTAATTATACCAGTATTTGAGCAAGTTGTGTTGTTGATCTTCAAAAATCTTGATTTACAAGTTTATGATATAAAAAACAATGTGAGTATACAATAATGTGTGTGCATCTCTTGTAGGTGTGACATTAGTGATATTGTTTTGGAGATGCATCGCATTGTTCGTCCGAAAGGAGCTGTTATCATTAGAGATGAGGGACATACAATTGTTAAAGTAAAGCAAATTACTGATAAAATAAGATGGAAAGGAACAGTAGTGGTTGGTGACCAGGATGGGCCTTTCCATTCAGAAATGATTTTGGTTATCATTATTAACAATACTGATTAAACCTATTGTTATTTTGTTGTTATATTTCAGAAGTTTCTTAAGTTTTTTTATACAATGGATTTGGATAGAGGAGGAGGATATCATGATCATCTGTGGACAAACGAGAAATTATGAAAAAATCTACAACTTTCTAACCATAGTTTCTGCAAATTAATTTTCAAAATGCATCAAGTTAAATGTATCTTGAAATTTTATTTCATCATGTGTTAAATACATTCTGAAAATTACTTTCGAAAATGTACGAGATTGTAAAAATAACTTTTGGAAGTTAAATATGTAACAATGGGTGGGTGAGTTATAGTAGGTCTGACCCTGCTTATCCCCGTCCTGTAAAATTCTGGACAAGTTCAAGTTTATATTTAAAATATATTAGTTTAAGATTTTTAAATTTCTCACCATTTTTGTTGTGAGCTTGGAGAAAGTTTTTGATTATATATATATATATATATATATATATATATATATATATATATATATATATATATATATATATAGGGTTTAGGGTTTAATTATATTATTAATATATAAATTTAACAAAAATGATAAAACAAAAAATTAGAAAGTAATTTATATTTTTATAATTTGTTATATTAATTGTTATTGTGATTTAAGTTATTCAATTATTAAAATAGTAATTTTTATTTTTAAATAGTTGTATTGTAAGCAAGTATAAATATGTATATACACATATGTAATTTAACCTTTTTACATGACCATGGTCGGTATAAGAATTCAATTTTTGTTAATTTCTCATACCTTATAAATAGTTATTTATTTATTTATTTTCACTCGCACACAGTCAATTGTTAGACTCGATTTATTACATTTGTGAATTTATTATGCAGATTCTTGGAATAGTCCAAGAATCTTAAACTTTAATATTTTAGAAAAAAAAAGTTATATAAGTAACAAACCAGAAAATGAAATTTATTTAATATTGGTATTTTAATTTGTTAGATTTTATCATAATAAAAAAAATAATAAATTTTATATTTTTTTCAGATTACTATTTCAATTCATTTATCAGTTTATCAGCAAGCTTTTTCGAACTGAGTATAAATCTAGAAAAATTTATTTATTTCATTGATTATATTTTAAACAAATTAAACAGTTTTCTTACTCATCCCTAACCCACAACATTCGATGTTGCGAGTTAGTAATAACAAACTAAAATTATTGATAATTTACAATATGAAAGCTAGCTATAGTTTTTTTTAGTTATGAGATTCAATTTCATTGATTAATATAATTTTAGAGATTAATTAACTGAAAATCTATAATTTCAGCCATTTTTGTATAACTCACTCTACTACAATAAGTTTTAAATAATCTAAGTTGATTCGTAGAAATTGATTTAAAAGAGTACATTTTCTTTAAAACCTATTTATTTTAAATTTAATGATAGAATCGATTGTGTGAAAGAAAAAAGTTCCTCACCAGAATTAACGATTATCTGTATAAAACACACAATAATAGATAAAAAAATTTATCAGTAAGATTAAATGCTTATCTTGAAAATTGAAAACAATACTATTTTGTATTAGAGAAACATTTTTTTTCATAAAAAAAATGCATTTATATTATATTAAGGATATAATAGATACCTAAAATTGTATGGCTGTGATCTTAACCTTTTATATTTATTTGGCGGACTAATTGGAGCCCATTAGCTTTTACATTCTTAACACTGTCACTGTCTTTCGTCGCAGATTAGAAGCCATTGAAGCTGTTTTGTGTTGTGTTGTGTTGTGTGGCGGCGCGTATCATTCCCTCTCCCTCTCATCTCGTGTCGACTCCAGGTATTAATATTTAGGTTTAGGATTTAGGGTTTTTGCATTCTACTTCCTTATTCTCCTCTTATTGCTTTCACACAAAAGCAGAGTATTGGTTGGTTGAAGGCACAGTAACTCTGCAAACAACGATGGGGTCACTCAAGAGAAAGTCGCCAGAAGAGCCTTCAACTTCATCTTCGCTGCCACTGCACGATTGTGTGCACCACGTCTCATATCCACATGGTTACACCCACCCTTCTTCTCCGCCCAGTCAAACTCACGCAGAACCCGCCAAGAAGTTCCCATTCACTCTCGATGCCTTTCAGTCCCGAGCCATTACTTGCCTCGAAAACGGCGAGTCCGTCATGGTCACCATTCAAACGAAATTCAATTTTATTTTCTGTTTTTTTTTTTTTTTTTGGATGATTGATTTTCTCACTTATTGTAGCTGTTCGTGTGACTTAACTTAGGTGTCTGCACACACCTCTGCTGGGAAAACCGTGGTAGCGTTGTATTCTATTGCTATGTCCCTTCGAAATAAGCAGCGCGTCATCTACACTTCCCCTATCAAGGCTCTCAGCAACCAGAAGTATAGAGAATTCAAGGAAGAATTCTCTGACGTTGGCTTGATGACCGGAGACGTCACCATTGATCCCAATGCTTCTTGTTTGGTAGGTACGCTGCTCCAAGGTTTTAAATCGTGGTTACCGTTGTAGTTTTGTCACTAATGGTGGACAAATGCTGTGGTCATGGACACCCGACAAACCTTGGTGTTGTGGTCACGGGCGGTTCTTTAGAACCTTACACCACTCTTACGTTTTTAGTTTTCCTTAATATGGAGTAATATGTTGTCTAAAAATTGAAATTTAATTGATTCAGGTCATGACTACCGAAATCTGGCGTAGTATGCAGTATAAAGGGTCTGAGATCACTAGGGAGGTGGCCTGGATTGTTTTTGATGAGGTGCATTACATGCGTGATCGCGATAGAGGTGTGGTTTGGGAAGAGAGCATTGTTTTGTCACCCAAGAATTCACGTTTTGTCTTCCTGTCTGCCACTGTACCCAATGCAAAGGAATTTGCTGATTGGGTGGCAAAGGTCATCGATTGATTTGCTCTTTATTACATTAATTTTGTGGTGGAGGGATGGTTTAGCTGCTTCTCTAATGCTTTTGCTAACTTGCAGGTGCACCAACAACCTTGTCATGTTGTTTATACAGATTACCGACCAACACCCCTTCAGCATTATATTTTCCCTTCTGGAGGTGATGGTCTATATCTGGTTGTGGATGAGAAGGGAAAATTTCGCGAAGAAAGCTTTCAGAAATCTTTAAATGCACTTGTTCCCACCACTGAGGGTGATAAGAGAAAAGAGAACGGCAAACGGCAAAAAGGTTTGGTGCTGGGTAGAGTTGGTGAAGAAAGCGATATATTCAAGATGGTGAAAATGATCATTCAGCGTCAATATGATCCTGTGATACTTTTCAGCTTTAGCAAACGGGAGTGTGAGCTTCTTGCAATGCAGGTAAACTTCAACTTGATGTTCGTTGTCAAAGAATATATTTGTTTTCTTTCCATTCTCTCTTGTGGTGATACTGTATCTCTAATGTCTTTTTTGTCTCTGTAGATGGCAAAAATGGATCTTAATGGGGATGATGAAAAGGACAACATAGAACAAATATTTTGTAGTGCCATGGACATGCTTTCAGATGATGATAAGAAACTACCGCAGGCAAGATACTTCCTTAACTTTGGTGTTCTCCCCCTCTATCCAGAGCACTTTACTACTGCATATGCAGATTACTGTGTTTTAGCGTCTCTCATTTCTCTTCTTCAACAAAATAATTAAGTAGAGTTGGTTATTGATTTTAACTCAAGGTCCTTTTTATTTGGAAAGGAAAAAGTTGAAGCAAAGTTCTATTTCCATTTCAGTTTTATTAGACCTTACAATTTGAAGAAAACAAGAATGGCGGGAGTACTGGGCTTAGGATTTATTAGGCTTGGGTTATTAGGGAGCTCTACAAAGTCTCTGTTGGACAAGCTTCACTGTAGTTGTGGTTCAAAATTCAAGCATTTTATTTCTCGTTGGTGATATTGAATTATATTTTCAAATCAAGCATTTTTATTTAGTTTTCGTTTGGTGCTCCAATCATCATTGTTTCAAGGAAGTTCCCATCTGACCATTTCTTATATGTACAGGGAGATTCAGCAGCTTTATTACATATTTGAGTACTTTTCATGTTTCTTTCTGAATGTTGTTTTTCTTTTGCTGTTGTGGAGGAAATATATCCATCTGTGGTTGTGCTCACCTCCCTGAGAATTTGGTACTTCAGCCGAGTTCAATGGTGTCATGTGATTCGTATAGATGACCTCTCCTAGTGAGATAAGACTTTTGTTGTTGTAGTCCTAGTTTTTTTATAAAAAGATGGAAGTGAAAGCATTACTGTGTTATTTGGCATACTAACTATGTTGGCGCCTCAAATGACAACAATCATTTGCAGTACCCCAAATACCATAAAAACAATTAAGAGAGTCATACAAGCAAGTGGGGGTAGACCAAAACCCGCCAAGAAAACCTATAATGTGGCAGAGAAAATCTATCCCTAAAGATTGTAGGATTTATGAAATTGGGTACATTAGCCTACCAAGAGAAACCCTGGTTAGGGAGTGGGCATCTTGAAAAGTGTTTTAGAGGAAATTCAGTAGAGTCTGGGGCTGAATTCTTGTCAGGACAAGCATAGCAGTTTGTGACTTGAGTTAAGCGATTGTAACTCATCTACCTATTGTTACTGAACTGTAAATTCCACTTTTAATGAGAACATTGAAAATTGTTAATGGTGAATAATGTTGATTGTAGAAGGATTTTATGGTGCTGAATCCTCCCAAAACTTGTTTGATGTAAGCTTGCTGTTTCTTAACACCATTGATTTCTGAATAACTGTCTATAAATACAATATTTCAATTTAGTTGCATGTGTGGTCACTTTTAAGGTATATGTATTTTTTGTTGATTTTTAATATATTTATTTTCAGGTTTCAAACATGCTGCCCTTGCTGAAACGTGGAATAGGTGTACATCACTCTGGTTTACTCCCAATTCTAAAGGAAGTAATTGAGATCTTGTTTCAAGAAGGGCTAATCAAGGTTTGTGCAATGAAATCATGAGATATGATACTTCATTCATCTGTATAAAATGTGATATAACTGTGTGCTCACATCCTAGATAAAAG